ACAACACGACAAGGCTAAAGAGTATTTTCAAAAAGCGCTTGAAAATTATGAGGAGCTGAGACATTTCTTGGGCGCCAATGATCAGTTTAAAACATCATTTCTGGAGGACTCCGGAACATTTACCAACAGGCTGCTTTGTAATTTGCTTTGTGCCACCGGAAATGCTCGGGATGCTCTTTATGTTGAAGAGTTAGGTCGAACTAGAGGCCTATCAGACCTGATTGCAGAGAAGTACTCGGTTGAAACGCACATCTCTGCTAATCCACAATCTTGGTTTGGCATTGAAAACATTAGAGAGAAAAATAACTGTTCTTGTCTGTACATTTCTTATTTTCACAATCATTTGCATTTGTGGGTCTTGAAAAAAAGTGGAGTCCTTCACTTTAGAAAAATATCACTAGAAGAGAACCTAGTTCAGGCTTTAAACACGGATGAATTGCTACCTCTCTTCCTTGAACGAAATAGCTCAGCAAAAGTGCGACTCGTGGAGGAGGACGAGGAAGAGAAAGTAATTTCAAGTCTATCTTTGTGTTACAAAATGTTTATTGCTCCCATTTATGATTTGCTTGAGGAACCTGAAGTCATTATTGTTCCTGACCGCAGTTTGTACAAAGTTCCCTTTGCTGCCCTAAGTGAAAAGGAGGTAGCCGAATACCTCTCGGATACTCATAGGATCCGTGTCATTCCTTCTCTAAGGACACTCAAGATTATTCAAGATAGTCCAGAGGACTATCACAGCAACGCTGGTGCCTTGATAATAGGCAATCCCAAGGTTGATTGGCTGCCGCCATTGCCAGGTGCAAGAAAGGAAGCGGAAATGGTCGGACGACTGGTAGGCTTTCCGCCTCTGGTAGAAGAGGAAGCAACGAAGCAGGCAGTGCTTGAGTGGATAAGTTCAGTGAGCCTAATACATTTTGCTGCCCACAAGAGCGCCGAAAAGGGAGAAATTGCCCTCTCCCCCAAACCTACTCCCAACAGTCGAAACGCTATCCCACCACAGGAAGCTTACATGTTGACGACGGGTGATATCTCACGAGTGAAAGTCAGAGCTAAACTGGTGGTACTTAGCTGCTTTCACAGTGGACAGATAAGAGCCCAGGGAGTAATTGGAATTGCCCGTGCATTCTTGGGATCCGGTGCTCGCTCGGTACTGGTTGCGATGTGGGCCATTCCAGACTCAGCAAAAGAACAGCTGATAAATCGGTTCTACGAACACCTTGTTGAAGGAGAAAGTGCCAGTGAATCCCTTCATCAGGCCATGAAGTGGATGAGAAAAAACGGCTTTACCAAAGTGTCTGAGTGGGCTTTGTTTACGCTGATTGGAGATGATGTGAGGCTCGAGTTTGACAAGGGAAGATAAGACTCGGTGAGAACAGGTACTTCATATATAAAAATTAAAATAGATGTGAAGGCGGCTGTGACTACTGGTCGCTGACTGTCGGCGGGGATCCTTTCAGTTGTTACCTTGAACATCAAGGCTATTTTGATGTATATTTCTCTCTCTCTCTCCCCCTCTCTCCCCCTCTCTCCCCCTCTCAAATTAAATTAAGCCGTTTAAAATTATGACGGTCACAATTATAAGGTCAGCAATGATTTGTATCTGCGATCATCTCTCTCTCACTCATTCATGTCACTGCAGTAAAGAATGATTTTTTGATAAAATCGTGCAAAGGAACTTCCAGTTCGAAAAAAGATAGAAATCAAGTCCGTTTCTGGCTTGGACCACTGGGGACGGTACAACATAAAAACTGTTGAATAGTTCTCAAGAAAAGCTATAAATATTCCTTAGCAATAAAATGTCTTGTATTATTCATGAACAAGAAATAAGAATGCTTGAACGTTTACGTTCTCATCTGAATAACAAAAAAAGTGGAGGGGGACAGGGTGGCGGGAGCCCGGGAGCCCGGGAGAGGGCGGGAAGCGGAAGCAGAAATAAAGAAGGCGATAGTTTGCTGTTTATTACTAGGTATTATTCAATCAAAAACACTTATCTAGCAAAGTTTTGAAATTCCCATTCGGAGGCAAGAAAACGTAAATTTGTCCTCGGGCTGGAAAAACAGCATAACTTTAGATAGATTTGGAAATCCCCCTTAATTCGATTACGTCATAGGTCATTAGAAAGCATGACACATGACACATGTACATGTACATGTTCAGTGCGGTCTTGCCGGCGCAGGGAAGACTTCTTCTAACCTGAAAACTTTCCGTAGAGGTTTAAAGGAAGATTTCAACCCAGCGAACAAATCTGATAATCAGCCGAACAAGAAATTAAAGTTCAATCATTCTTCACTAGCATTTAAACTGAACGCTCAAAATGCAAACGGTTAAACAGTTGATGTGCAGTGATTGAAATCATCCTTTGGAGTCAGCTTTTTTATTCGCTCACGACTAGTTATGACTAGTTACTTACGTCAAAAAGGGAAAGCAAGCACGGATTCAGGAGAAGCAAACTCTAAACGTTACGTCTGGCTCTTGATTTTTTTATTTGATTTTGAAATGATATTCCTAAATGCACGGAAAAACTTATATTAAATTGCAATAGCTATTATATTACACCGCGGTAAACTGAGACTTTTGTCTCTATAACGAGATGTCAGAGGCGATGGTCAAACTAACGCTTTCCAAACTATTTTGTGTTTTCCAGAATAGCATTTTCCGTGAAAAATGGACCTTTTAGGCATATTTTTCATATCGATTCCGGAAAATATCGTGCTTTTTTCCAGACAAAGTAAAATGTTGGTCTCAAAGCAGCACTATTCCGGAAAAAACACGGAAATTTCTCCTATGTAATAAAAGCAAAATGCTTCAGTTTTCACGGAAAATGTGTTTCAAAAGAGCAACGTTTTGTATAATTCAACGCAGAGTTAAACGTAGGTGCATTTTACTCTTACAAATATTCAGTTTTTTACTGTGTTGGTTGTTAACTCTTGTCAAAGTGCACATAATGCTCTGCAAGGTTAGGAACGGAACGACAAAGTCTTTGATTTTAACCCTCAAAATTTTTATTTGACATGGTATTACGAACTGTAATACAGAAATTCTGCAAGGTTTGACGACCAGTGCTGCAGAAATTCTGCATGGTCTGGTGTCTAATGCTGCAGAAATTCTGCAAGGTTTGACGGCCCAAGCGTGCAAAAATTCTGCACGCCTTGACGTCCAGTGCTGCAGAAATTCTGCACAGTATGACGTCCACAGCAGCAGAAATTCTGCAGGCAATGACATCCTGAGTTAAAGATATTTTATGTTTTGCAAGGTTCAATGCTGCAGAAATTCTGAGTCGTTGCTTTTCCATTCTCAAAAAAGACAAATTGTAGGGGGCCCACGCATACCAACAGTTTCGATCAGTTTTCTTTTTTATGCTTTTTCTATTTTTCAGTGATCATAGTTGAAATAACAATACTGTGCATGCTGATGTTTTCTGAATGACGGGATAAACTTGTGAAAATAACTCCACGGTTGGCGATGGTCAAACTGTGATAACCAGGTTAGTGAAACTTAGTTTAATTAAGAAAA